AGTACAACCACCTTCACATCATCTCTGTTTATTGCAGGGCGGTGCTTAACCTTTTATACATAGAAAACAATAGAGTATACGTCACTATTACGTATATACAGTCACATTCTAAAAGGCACATTTTGCTTGGTTGAAATATAGGAGAAATGTAGAAACTTGATGCTGCTTCTTCTCATCCCGTTATCTCTTCCCCCCCCCCCCCCCCCACATTCCCAAAGTCTAAGTAAAAGGTCCTCTCAGTGTGAAGGGAGGGGTTGAGAGCATCGCTCTGAACAAAACAAGTTAAGGAGGACTGCAAAACCCAGCAGACAAAATATATATATATATATACATATATATATATATATATATATACGCACAACACATATATTTAGAAATAAAAAAAAGTATAAAAGTAAATATGTATAAAATGGATATTTTAAACAGGAAAACAGAATAGGCATTTTACCAAATCCATCACAGTAACAGGTCTTCCAGTAGCAAAGGCAATGCTGTTTGGCTCCCTCCCGAGTGGTCCATCTCCCATAGCAAACGGGAGCAGACCAGTGTTTCGAAGACACACAACCTGGCCATAGTGGAAAGGAGTTAGCATTGAGCACACATGAGGTCAGTGCTATATGCTTGGTGGGACCCCATTCTGTTACTGGGAGTGAGGTAACGGGGTGAGCTAGACTAGTGGGGTGGGTGCTGGCTCAGTCTGCTCCACCTATTGCAACAACTACTAAAGGCACAGTGTGTATGACATGAGACACCATGTTTTCAGAGGTATTCTGTATTTTTTACTACAAACAAGCTCATCTCTAATTCGGGGAACTACCTTATGGCTGGTTCACACCATAGAAACACAGTCCAGATGTGTTCTGGATGTGTTTCTGCATGTGCATTTTCGACACATTTTTTGGCACGTTCCAGTGCGTTTTTATTATTTTTTTAAGAGTTTCAGTGCGTTTTTGACACGTTCTGGTTTATTTTTCCCCTGTCTTTTCTTTCTATTTTAATAGGGACATGTGCATACCAGTGCATTTCAGTGTGTTTTTGATGTATTTTACTGCATTCTAGTACAGTTTTGTGCACTGATGTGAATTATGACATTGACAACCATATAACCTACTTTCTGTGAATCTTGGGTGCAGAAAAAAAAAGCACACTGAAACGCATGTATTGTGAACTGGCCCTTAAAGTTAGATTTTTCACATGACCATAGTCATGGCCGGACTGGCCATAGGGCGCACTGGGCATTTGCCTGGTGGGCCGGGGCCACCTGGATAGGAGGGGCAGCTGGGCAGCACATATAGGAAACGGTCTGTGGATTTCTTGGATCCTCTATGTGCCGCCCAGCCTCCCCTCCTATCCATCTGCATGCCCTGGGCTCCTGTATGCTGCCCCATGGCAGCCCCCCCATCTCCTGCAGCGCTGCCGCCGGGTTCGCCCCCTCCATGCGGCTGCTGTGGAGCATCTGTCAGCATATTACCCACCCACCACAGATGGGGAGAAGAGAAAAAGCTGCCCCTCCACCTCCCGACCTCTACTTCTGTGTCTGCCCTGCCCACACTCCCTGCCAGCCTTGTGTCTTCTCTCCCGCTTCTTCTTTATGTCTCTCCTTCTTTCTTTCTTTTTTCTTTCTTTCCTTCTCTCTTTCTTTTCTCTCTCCGTCTCCTGTTTCTCTTTCTTTACTTCTCTCTTTCTCTCTCTCTGTCTCCTGTTTCTCTCCTTTGTTTCCCTCCTTCTGTCCCTTTTTTCTTTTCCCTCCTTCCTTTTTTCCATCCTTCTTTCCATCCTTCCTTTCTTTCTCTTTCTTTCCCTCCTTCCATCCTTTTTCCCTTCTTTCTTTCTTTCTTTTCCTCCTTTCCCTCCCTCTTTCTTTCCTTACCTCCTTCCTTCTATCCCTCTTTCTTTCCCTCTTTCTTTCCGCCCTTCCTTCTTTCCCTCCTTCCTTCTTTCCCTCCTTCCTTTTTTTCCCTCCTTATTTCCCTCCTTCCTTCTTTTCCTCCTTCTTACTTTTTTTCCCTCCTTCCTTCTTTCCCCATTCTCCTTCTATCCCTCTTTCTTTCCCTCCTTCTATCCTTTCTTCTTTCTTTCCCTCCTTCTATCCCTCTTTCTTTCCCCCTCTTTTGTCCCTCATTTGTTTCCCTCTTTCTTTCCCTCCTCCCTGCTTTCCCTTCTTCCTTCTTTTCCTCATTCCTTCTATCGCTCCTTCCTTCTTTCCCTCCTTCCCTCTTTCCTTCCTTCTTGCTTTCCCTCTTTCTTTACCTCCTTCCTTCTTTTCCGCTTTCCTTCTTTCCCTCCTTCCTTTTTCCCCTCCTTTTTTTCCTTTCTTTTTCTTTCTCTTTCCTTCCCTCCTTCCATCCTTTTTTCCCTCCTTCCCTTCTTTCTTTCTTTCATTTCTCTCTCTCTCTCTTTCCTTTCCTCCTTCTTTCTTCCTTTTCCTCCCTCTTTCTTTCCTTCTCTCCTTCCTTCTATCCCTCTTTCTTTTTCTCCTTCCTTCTTTCCCTCTTTCTTTCCGTCCTTCCTTCTTTCCCCCTTTCCCTCCTTCTATCCTTCCTTCTTTCTCTCCTTCCCTCCTTCTTTTCCTCCCTCCTTCTATCCCTCTTTCTATCCTTTCTTTCCCTCCTTCTAACCCTTTCTTCTTTCTTTCCCTCCTTTTATCCCTCATTTATTTCCCTCCTTCTTTCTTTCCCTCTTATTTCCCTCCTTCCCTCTATCCCTTTTTCTTTCCCTCCTTCTTACTTTTTTTCCCCTCCTTCCTTCATTTCCTCCTGCTATCCCTTTCTTTCTCCTCCCTTCTTTCCCTCCTTCTATCCTTTCTTCTTTCTTTCCCTCCTTCTATCCTTTCTTCTTTCTTTCCCTCCTTCCTTCTTTCCCTCTTTTTCATTCCCCATTCCTTCTTTCCCTCTTTCATTCTTTCCCTCATTCCTTCTTTCCCTCTTTCATTCTTTCCCTCCTTCCTTCTTTCCCTCTTTCATTCTTTCCCTCCTTCCTTCTTTCCCTCTTTCATTTCATTCTTTCCCTCCTTCCTTCTTTCCCTCCTTCTATCCCTCTTTCTTTTCCTCCTTCTTTCTCTCCTTCCATCTTTCCCGCCTTCCTTCTTTCCCACCTTTTTTCTTTCCTTCCTTCTTTTTCTCCTTCTTTCTTTCTCTCTTTCTTTCCCTCCCTCCCCCCCTCCCTCCCCCCTCTCTCTCCCTCCCTCCCCCCTCTCTCTCCCTCCCTCCCCCCCCCCTCTCCCTCCCTCCCCCTCCCCCTCCCCTCCCCTCCCTCCCCCCTCCCCCCCCCCCCCTCTCCCCCCCTCCCCCCCCTCTCCCCCCCCCCTCTCCTCCCTCCCCCCCCCTCTCTCCCTCCCCCCTCTCTCCCTCCTTCCTCTCCCTCCTTCCTTCTCTCCCTCCCTCCTTCCTTCTCTCCCTCCCTCCTTCCTTCTCTCCCTCCTTCCTTCCTTCTCTCCCTCCTTATTTCCTTCCTTTCTTCCTTCCTTCTCTCCCTTTCTTTCTCTCCCTTCCTTCCTTTCTTTCTTTCCATCTCTCTCTTTTTTCTTCTTTCTCTTCTACAAAAACTAAAATATAAAATTGTATAAAAATTAAATAAAAATAAAAACCTACTGACATAGCCGTTTTGCCACTCAGCTTTGAGGAAAGAGTCCTTGAGGTTGGAGCGGCTCAGTCCAAAATGCCAGGCCTATTTTTTGTCCCAGTCTGGGCCTGGTCCAGGGCATTGATGAATGCACTCTGTGTGAAAGGTTACCCTGCCCACAGTTTGTTGGAAAGCTGGCTAGTGAGGTGTCTCAATGGCAGGGCTTATAGAAAAAAAGATGAGTTTGTAAGTCATGTGCAGGCTGTTATGGCAGACATCCCATTTACCAATGCCTCTCCATAAACAATGTGTTTGTCTCTCTTCTGTCGCTGCCTCTGTCAGGAAAAAGATGTGATGTCAGAGAAAATAACCTGCAAAATGCATAACAATTTAATGTGCATTATAATGCACGTCAACACGTTAAAAGAAGGTAATGCACATTTATTTTTGAGCACTTTTATGTCTTTTAGACCGGGTTCATATTGATACGGTGCAGGAAATGCTGCGAATTTGTGCATTTCCCGCACCGCATTGCAATCACATGCGATCTGTTACGGGTGTTAATGTTAAATTAATGAGACCCCGAACCAGATCGCAAAACGCAGTGCGATTGGCAGAAATCATATTGCATGTGATTCGGTGTGGGTAACAAAAGAGTCCTGCACGTTTTTTGGTGTGGATGCTATGTGATTTCAGCCATACAAAATGTATGGCTCAAATTGCACCGCACAGACCTCGCATGTAATTCGCACAAGAATGCGGTGCGATTCTTGTGTGAATTACATGCAGTGTCCCGCACCGCATTAGTGTGAACACGGTTAAATGCATATTTTTGTGTGGATTGTGGTGTGCAGCAATGCATGTGTCTCTCAGCTGTGTTGCCTTCTGGGGTGACTTTCAAAACCAAGGGAGCTGCAACACGCTTATGCAAAAAGCATGCTGTATGTAACTGCAATGCACTGCAAAAATGTACATCAGCCCTGCAGGCACAGTTGTCTGTATACATAAAATGATTGGTGCTCTACCGTCCTTTCTATTTAACCTTCAAGAAACCTAAACATTTCATAGTAATAAATATAACTGAGAGATCCACCAACTAGTAACACGATTTTATATGGATTCTACATCTGCTTCAGATTTGTGTGAGGATCCCACCCGTGCAGTAAAATCATTTCAGCTAGAACTACGTGATAGGACTTTCAGTAAACCTAGCAAGAGTACCGGGTACCACAGTTTCCCTAGGGAGGGGCAGCTCCCCTCACTTTCCACTTTCATTGGTGAATAGCTGACGAGAGGTGGAGCGGACGTTATAAATACCATTAGCCACACAACTTCCCTACTCAGTGGACAAAGTAGGAGCAGCCTGTGTGTACCTGTGACGTCTTACAGCCTTGTGTGTGCGTGCGAGCGAGCGACAACACGTCGCTTCCTTGTTTGTAATGGCTGCCCGTGATACGCCGTGGGGACCTCGGAACGCAGCCGGGCTGCTGCTGCTGCTCCTGCTTCATCTCAGCGCGGCCACCAGGCAGACTCCGTCTGAAGTAGTGGAAGAAAGTAAGTTCACAGCGGAAATTCGGCTACTTTAGGCAGCTAGTAAATGTACCCAAGTGATTACCGTAGAAGTGTCCTATATGGGTGGGAGGGGCTATACCTGGACTACAGTTCCTGTATAATGCTGAGTGGAAACTTTACTGCTGAGCTTTTACAGTACTTGTTTCTCTTTTTCTTTTTATAAAATGTATGGAAAAGTTAAACTTTTTTTGGAATTACTGGATGAATATAGGTGAGTGTCACTGAAATGGAAAGAGAAAATTAAAATGTTTACAGTTGCCATAGAAAGTCGAGGGTATCTTCTAATAGAAACTCCTATGGGACTGTAGACAATATGCTTTAGGGCCAGCTCACACTACATGCGTTTCAGTTTTTTTTCTGCATCCAAAGTGCACAGAAAGTAGGTTATATGTTTGTCAATGTCCTATTTCACATCAGTGCTTGCAGTTCCAGTGTGTTCCGGATGCAGAAAAAAACTTAGAACATGCTTAATTTTTTTCTGCACAGAATTGTACTGGAATGCAGTAAAACACATTAAAAATGCACTGGAATGCCCATGTCCCTATTTAAATTGAAGAGGAGAAAACAATGGACTGGAATGTGCCAAAAACTCACCCGGAACGCATCTGGACTGCGTTTCTATAATGTGAACCGGCCCTTACTCTTTAATCAAATAAAAGACATACAACTTTTATTTTTTGGTAATACCTTGGCCATGGCCGTTTTATTGGTATTTATTGATATAAATAGTATGTTTTATAAGAACTTTGTACATATTAAATCGGTATTAATATTAAAAAAAAAAAAAAAAAAAAAAAATTCTTAACCACTTGCCTACCGGGCACTTTTACCCCTTCCTGCCCAGGCCAATTTTCAGCTTTCAGTGCTCTCACACTTTGAATGACATTGTGTGGTCATGCAACATTGTACCCATACAAAATTTTTTATATATTTTTTTCCACAAAAATGGCTTTTTGGTGGTATTTAATTGCCACTTGTTTTATGTTTTTACACTATAAAAAAAAAAAAAAAGCAAGACATTTGAAGAGTCTTTTTTTTTTTTTTTTTTTTTCTTCGTTTCTATTATAAAATTTTAAACTGTAATTTTTCTCCTTCACTGATGATCAGTGCCAATCTGCAGTACTTTCCTCATTCTGTGACAATGTGAGGAACGTGCAGCTGGTAACTGTATTTACTCAGTGATCTGCGTCATTGGACACAGCTGATCACGTGGTAGATGACCGCTGTGATTGGCCTTTTACCTCATCACTTGATCAGCTGTGTCTGTAGGACTCATCATGGAGATCACCAGGTGCGTGCCGCTGAGGGTGCAATCTGGGAGGATGTCATGACTCCCTCCCAGAACTGGACAACCGCGCTGTAGCAGTCATTTGGCTGTAGTGCGGTTGGCAGGTGATTAAAGTATCACTACACAACACCAACTTGATCACTACGACTCTAAGCTGTACATATTAAACACAACTTATTAACCATACCTATCTATTGATCCAACCTCACTTCAATTAAAGACTCACTCATCGTCCTTTGAATAAAGGTGACCTCACCAATAATAATTGGCCATGACAACAGAAGGGGTGCGTGGGAGGGGAGCACCACAGGGATGCCTCTCAGGTGCCTGCAACCCTGTGAACGGAACCCCCCTTTTATAGCCCTCTCATCTCCCCTAGTCCTCTTTTAATTGGCTAATTTGACTTCCAGGTGTTCCCCAGGTGCACTGGGGGCTTAAAACTTCCATTTTCTACAAAATTCCCCATTATATTAATAGCTGTTGGGGGGCTTGAAACTTTACGGTTTTTATTCAACCGCATACCAAAAGGGGGTGGGGACTAAAACCTGCTGACTTGCTGTAAGTTTCTCTACCGTATATATACAGCGGGGAAACTTAAAGCTTTTCACATGCCACAGTCCCATAAGAAAAGGGGGGGAGGGGGCCCGGCCCCATGTTAAAATCCCCCTTTTCTTTTCCTATTCCTGAAACCACTAAGATTAAAACATAAGTATGGCCAAAGCTTTTTTTGGTCATGCTTCTCTTGTGGGTCACAAAATGCTTGTGCTTACCAAAGAAATCAAAGATCCAGTCCAGGCTCTGGAAGGATCCTGACCATATTGTTGGGATCCACCTGGCTGCCTGAGTGACAGCTTGTCCCGCATCTTAATGCACGTCTGAGAACCGAAGCTGGCTGTGCCCGGCATTCCAGTGAGCACTGGAGGAGCAGAGTGGAGACCAGTCACTGCTCTCTGCTTCGAGAAGACTGTGTGATCAGTGGTTATGTGATTGCTCAGTATTGGGTCCCTTTCAGACAGGTGTTCCAATTCGGTCTACCTGTCAGTTTTTCAGGCGGACCTGATTGGAAGTTCTATGCATTCCTATGGACTGTCGAGTGTAAATGGACTTTGATTTGTTTACACCCACCTATCACCAGGTTGAAGTCAAGGGGACAGATCCAAAATGATTTTCCAAATGGCTATAGCGGTTGTAATGCAATATTTGAATGTAAAATCTTTTCTGGGATTTCAGTCAGGTTTCATGAGCTATGTAAATTGTTTACACCTGTAGCAAGGGCATTATTTAACTTTGGTCCAAGCTTTACAGTTTCCTATTTGCAGGCAACCCTCACCTGCTTGGGCCATTTTTTGGTGAAGGTAAGAGAACATCCTCAACTTTCTGTTTTGATTCCAGAACAAAGTGTAGTGGAATCTATACAAGGTAACAGGGACTACCAAAGACAAACTGACAAAAGGTGTTTACCGTTCCTATTCTAAGCATTAATGTGCATCTGTGAGTGTGAGAATCGCTAAATGTCTTTCCCCATAGCAGCCAATTAGATTGTTCCCTTTATTCAGTCATGTTCTTTGGCTCTAGTTCTTATGGGGTACCTCAGATCATTATTTCCATTTTGTGTAGGCCTCATGCATATGAGCACTGAGCTGAATGGGCTGTGTTCATGAAGGTTGAGCTGGGAGTGGGAGTTATTTATTAAAGCTAGAGTGCAAAATCTGGTGCAACTCGGTGTAGAAAAGAGGAAGATAACCGCGCAATCCACCAAAAGGGCCATATAACTGAGCCTCTGGGGCATAAATTGACCTATTGATACACAATAATGCAATTAGAAAAAAACTCTTTAAGTTTACCAAAATCTATACAGAAAACTGTTAAACCACCTTCCACCACCATAAAAAACAAGACGGCATTGCAGCTCTGCATAGAAACCAATCAGCTACCAGGTTAAATTTCCAAAGCTTAATTGAACAAGCTAAAGTTAGAAGCTGATTGGCTACCATATGCACAGCTGCAACAGATGAAGTGCCCCAGTTTTAGTAAGTCTACCCCAGTGTATGTTCAGGTCCATTCACCTGAATGCTTTTTAAATTGGGATGAGCATCTGTCCTTGCGGCTGCTGCACCCTCCTACTCTTATGTAGGGTGTCTGCATGCAACACCTGGCACTTCTACCAGGTGCTGAGATTTGGCGTCAACCCTTATTGGTTGGCACAGGATAATGTCACTCCTGTGCATGTGCAGCTTGGTGTACTTTGTAAAGAATATTTAGAAATCTAGATATACCACTTTAATGTTTTATGTGGGGTAGCCTATTTAATAAGCTCAAAGATCGCACCTATTTAAAGTTGTGGGTGTAAACCAAAAAATTATAACAAGTAGTAGTTGCCATAAGCCATCTACCGAACTAGGTAATAAACACCCAAGCAATGTAGCTTATATGTAAAATCACATTTTTATTATTCCCTTTGGGAGAAAAGGTGATATCCGTGGATGGTGACATATACAATCACTGAATACACATTAAAAACAATGAAAGACGAGCAATCCGGTTTGCAACATTGAATATTTCTAGTGGTATTCACTTTGGTTGAGATATATAGCAGCATATTAGCAGAAATAGCCAAAATTCAGCTGTTTATCACAAGGCTCTGTGTTGTACACATATATATCCTGTGTATACAGTGATAGCAGTAAGACAAAAAATTAGCCAAGTATATATCTAGATATGCATGATCATAGGATGCGTGAGAACTGCAAAAAAAAAATGCAAGTTGAAAAAAGAAATGAGTATGTCCATTTGTAGAATGCAGGAAGGAGTTCCCATGGAATTATACAGTGTTGAAAAAGTCATACTGTCCCATGTTCCTTCTTAGCTTGAATACTGTGTGGATTAATCCTTCATATATTGTGAAAATATTTAGATATCTTTATCCCTTCTAGATAAACCTCATGGCAAATGTATTGTGAAGCTGAGAATAAATTGCAAAACTTCAAATGAGGTGTGCAGTAACATTTTAATGATTTAACGATGCACCCCACTCACCACTGTTATACTGGCTAATGACCTAGCCATTTACCAGGAAATAGATTCTCATCACAATGAAACTTGATTATCATGTTGTAGATATAGAGTGGATTATTCACACAGTTCCCATTAGGGTAATGATCAAACCTCATATCACGAGTATTCCTTGTGCAGATTTCCCGCCAGATCATGAGGCATATCGCATGGCACAGTAACATGGCCGCTGTCACCAGTCCATGGTGTTGTCCACGTGGGATGTTGCTGCCGGGTGTGATGTCAGTATATTACATTGATGTGTTTTGTCCGCCAATCAGTGCAGACTTCTTCAGAATAGGGAGGAGATGGTGAAGGCTGCTTAAATACCCTGTAACTTAACCCCTTGGCGCCAGTGCCTCCTGGCCCTTTAAGGGTTTCAGAAGCTGGGAGGTGGGGTGGGGTTTAAGGGTCATGTGACCACTGTGATTCGCCGTCACGGCGGTCACATGATCGGGAAAGGTCCCAATTGAAAGAGGAGATCGGGACCTTTCATGAGTACCAGACGTGTGCTGGGAGTGCACGGGGCGCACGCTCTCAGCACGTTTTTCTTAATTGCACACAAATGTACGGCCGCTTGGTGTCTAGGCCCAGACACATTTGTGTGCGGCCGTTGTGAGAGGTTAATTGGGAATAATGTACA